ATTTTATCAAACTGCTATTAATATTTGTGAACGTTATGTCTATTACAGACCCGGCACTGTTTCCGGTACGGTGGGTAATAGTTCCGCTGTTGATGCATTGAAGGTTTGTATAGCTGATTTCGTTGATAATAATGCTTCCTTTGGAGTTGCATATTCTGTCTCCCCATGCCTGATGTCTAGCATTGAGATCACCAGCAAGAATAACGTTTTCGTGGTTGTTTAGTGCGATAAGTACACGATTTAGTTCGTTAGTGAAAATAGTAGTGTTGATGTTGGGAGGGAAATATATATTACAAATTGTTATGTTTCTGATTAAATTAGTGGTTTTAGCTATAAGGATGTCAAAAGTGGAGACAAATTTGATTTTAGTGAATTTAATACCTTTTCTGAATCCGATTCCTACACCACCGTAGCCGTCGGTTCTGGTTTTTCTAAGCAAGTTGAAGTTGAATAGGTTATGAATTGTTGTTTGGTTGTCATGTGAGAAAATCTCCTGAAGGCATACTATATCAATGTTGTTGTTACTATTAAAAAGGTCTACATAGTTTTTATTGCTTTTTAAGCTTTGTATGTTATATTGTAATATTTTGATCGAACTGGTCATCATTGCTAATTGAAATTTTGTCTTGTATGTGTACTTTACCTATATTTTGAATAAGGTTAACTAATGGGTCATTTATATCAATGTTATACCTTTTTATTAGAAGATTTACTAGCCTCTCTATCTCTGTAACCTTAGTCCAGTTCGCCATTTCATATACAGGCTGTATGCTTGCTTTAACTCTCGGGGCGTTGTAGGTTGGCTTTGGTGGTGCGGATACTTGTGGAATATTTTTCTTTACGACTTGATTGTATTTGGTAGTAGTGAGTTTTTTGTTAACCACTTCGTCGTTATTGATCATTACTGTTTTTTTTGTATCTAAATGAGGGAAGTTCCCTTCAAAATCGTCTAAAGCAGAGAATCTGTTATTATTGTTGAGATTGTACATCCCTATTGCCTCTGATTTGGATACCTTTTTAATGGTCATTATTTCTACTACCTTTTTTTCTTTTGCCCATACGGAGCATTTGCTACTTTCGAGTGAGTTGTGGGTATCGCCTCCACATAGTATGCATGATTTTGTGTTCTGGTTACATTTGCTATTGCAGCCCTCTGCTTTACCACAAACTATACATCTGTTTGCTGCTTTGCACGCCATTTTGGTGTGCCCTAATCTTCCGCAGTTATAGCAGTGTCTAATTCTTGGGATATAATGGACAATTTTTATCTTTACATAGAATATTTCAATTGATTCTGGTATCTCGTTACCTTCAAAGGCTATCTTTACAGAGTATCTACGTCGGGATGAATTTTTCTTTGTCATTAGGGTCTCTTCTGGTAATCCTTGTAATTGATGTGATCGGTATGTCTGAAACTATATTGTTCTTTATTTCCTGTTCCGTGAAATTAAGTGGAATTTGCCTCGCTACTCCGGTGGTTTCCACCATGCTTTTGGGTATGAACGGTCTCATATTATTTTTGAGTAAGTCCGGGTTGTCTATGCATTTGTTTGCTGCTTCGAAATTTTCAAAAAAAAATTTATAATGCGACCTACCTATTGCTTTTATTTTTTTTATTCCTAAAATATTAAAGTTTTTTATTTTGTCCCACAGGAAGAGACCATTTCACATTTTGTCGTTTTCGATCATTGTAGATTTAGAAGTGTCCACTAGTACACAAAAATCGCACTTGTGCCTATTTGTGTAGCGCACACTGTTGGTGTTTTCA